TTTATTTCTAAACAAAACTAAGACCATTTCATTCTATTGATGCTTTATCTCAGTTTGTCAGAATTCCTTTCTAATCAGAAAAAAGAGTTTCTAAATCTCCACCTTTATTTCTTAGTACTTCCAACCTGCTAAACCTTGATGGACTAGATCTCCAAATCAAATGGAATCAAGTCCTCATTCATTCAAGGATATTCTAGACAAATATTTTGTTAAATACATTCAAGGATGGACAGAAGAATGATGATGGGTACTGTACCACTGTATATCTCAATGGGCCTTTGGACAGATCATTCAACATAAACCAGAAGCAGTATTTGCCTGCCAGACTAATTTTGTCTTCAATGTACAATGAGATTCAACCCTTTTCAATGTAAAGGATGAAATTGATGGAATTTTTAGATATTTTTGATATGCTCTTAAAGGCTGAAAAAAAGGAAATGAAAAAACCCCTCTATACACACTGACTGAACCAGACAACATTAATTTTCCAGCTGCCGGAATCAATTATTTGGAAACTATCCTTAAGCAAATTTTTCAATTAAACAACAGCTGATAGGGAGGAATGAGATAACAAATCTCATCCACAGGTGTGAGATAAAAAAGCTCATCCACAGGTGTGAGATAACAAAGCCCATCCACAGGTGTGAGATAACAAAGCTCATCCACAGGAATGAGATAACAAAGCTCATCCACAGGAATGAGTTAACAATGCTCTTCCACATGTGTGAGATAACAAAGCTCATCCACAGGTGTGAGATAACAAAGCCCATCCACAGGTGTGAGATAAAAAAGCTCATCCACAGGTGTGAGATTTAACAAAGCTCATCCACAGGAATGAGTCAACAAAGCTCATCCACAGGTGTGAGATAACAAAGCTCATCCACATGTGTGAGATAACAAAGCTCATCCACAGGTGTGAGATAACAAAGCCCATCCACAGGTGTGAGATAAAAAAACTCATCCACAGGTGTGAGATAACAAAGCCCATCCACAGGAATGAGTTAACAATGCTCTTCCACAGGTGTGAGATTTCACAAAGCTCATCCACAGGTGTGAGATAACAAAGCTCATCCACAGGTGTGAAATAACAAAGCTCATCCACAGGAATGAGTTAACAAAGCTCATCCACATGTGTGAGATAACAAAGCTCATCCACAGGTGTGAGATAACAAAGCCCATCCACAGGTGTGAGATAAAAAAGCTCATCCACAGGTGTGAGATAACAAAGCCCATCCACAGGAATGAGTTAACAATGCTCTTCCACAGGTGTGAGATTTCACAAAGCTCATCCACAGGTGTGAGATAACAAAGCTCATCCACAGGAGTGAGATAACAAAGCTCATCCACAGGTGTGAAATAACAAAGCTCATCCACAGGAATGAGTTAACAAAGCTCATCCACAGGTGTGAGATAACAAAGCTCATCCACAGGTGTGAGATAAAAAAGCTCATCCACAGGAATAAGATAACAAAGCTCATACACAGGAATGAGATAGCAAACCTGATACACAGGAATGAGATAACAAATTTCACACACAGGAGTGAGATAACAAAGCTCATCCACAGGTGTGTGATAACAAAGCTCATCCACAGGTGTGTGATAACAAACCTCATCCACGGGAATGGATAACAAACCTCATCCACAGGTGTGAGATAAGAATGCTTATACACAGGAGTGAGTTAACAAAGCTCATCCACAGGTGTGTGATAACAAAGCCCATCCACAGGTGTGTGATAACAAAGCTCATCCACAGGTGTGTGATAACAAAGCTCATCCACAGGAATGGATAACAAAGCTCATCCACAGGAATGAGATAACAAAGCTGATACACAGGAATGAGATAAGAAAGCTCATACACAGGAATGAGATAACAAAGCTCCTCCACAGGTGTGTGATAACAAAGCTCATCCACAGGTGTGTGATAACAAAGCTCATCCACAGGAATGGATAACAAAGCTCATCCACAGGTGTGAGATAACAAAGCTCATCCACAGGTGTGGATAACAAAGCTCATCCACAGGAATGGATAACAAAGCTCATCCACAGGAAATTTCATACACAGGTGTGAGATAACAAAGCTGATACACAGGAATGAGATAAGAAAGCTCATACACAGGAATGAGATAACAAAGCTCCTCCACAGGTGTGTGATAACAAAGCTCATCCACAGGTGTGTGATAACAAAGCTCATCCACAGGTGTGAGATAACAAAGTTCACACAAAGAGGTGAGATAAACAAAACTCATCCACAGGAATGAGATAACAAAGCTCATACACAGGTGTGAGATAAAAAAGCTGATACACAGGTGTGAGATAAAAAAGCTCATCCACAGGAATGAGATAACAAAGCTGATACACAGGTGTGAGATAACAAAGTTCACACAAAGAGGTGAGATAACAAAACTCATCCACAGGAATGAGATAACAAAGCTCATACACAGGTGTGAGATAAAAAAGCTGATACACAGGTGTGAGATAAAAAAGCTCATCCACAGGAATGAGATAACAAAGCTGATACACAGGTGTGAGATAACAAAGTTCACACAAAGAGGTGAGATAACAAAACTCATCCACAGGAATGAGATAACAAAGCTCATACACAGGTGTGAGATAAAAAAGCTGATACACAGGTGTGAGATAAAAAAGCTCATCCACAGGAATGAGATAACAAAGCTGCGCACAGATGTGAGATAACAAAGTATAGAACATTTTTACTCTACAATTCCAATGGGACAGGATCCCAGCAATCATACCTGAGTAGATTTCTAGTCCACATCAAACCACAGGGACCTGAGGTCAGTACTGAAACCTGAGTAGATTTCTAGTCCATATCAAACCACAGGGACCTGAGGTCAGTAATCAAACCTTAATAGATTTCTAGTCCACATCAAACCACAGGGACCTGAGGTCAGTAATCAAACCTTAATAGATTTCTAGTCCACATCAAACCACAGGGACCTGAGGTCAGTAATCAAACCTTAATAGATCTCTAGCCCATATTAACCATACATAATCACAAGGTCTTACATCCTTTGACTTGAATAAAAGCTTGCATTTAATTAGATTTAACATTTCTACCTCGTTATTCTTTATATCTGAATATTCTTAAAGTTAACTCATGTTGTGATATTTTCTCAAGGCTTATGTTATCCTATAACATCTAAAATATCTTTTTGAAGAGGATGACTGTCTGGCAGATAAGATTAAATAACATAACAAGCTATCTGTACAGTACAATTTGTATAATTAAGTTTTGAAGGAAAATATAAAATTGAAAATGTCCTCAAATAAAATTCCTGAAATAATTATGTACACATAAACAACTAAAAGGAAATAAACGGTAAAAAACACAGTGCACAAAAAGATCTGGATCAGGTCATTGATTAATGCTATATATATAGCTACGGAAAGACACCAACAACAGAGATACCACAACATGTTTGGAAGCCGAGTTTTATGTTTGTCATTAGGACTAAGCCATTGTGGCCCATTAATTCATAAGCTGGGCTAATCCAGTGGTGACAGTCCACCAAGCGCTGTATCAAACTGGGGTCATTTTTTCTTGTGTACAACAAGCAACACTGACGGTCCTATCTCGAGGCCTATCTCAGACACGCTACATAACAGTCCTAATCAATATCAATTATTTAGCTCCGTCTCTGATCCTCCCATCTTCATAGCTCTTTTGGTGCCATCCAATTTCCCCGGAATTCTCTCCACAAAATGGAAACAGTAAATTTCTCATCCAATTATTTTCTAAATCAAAGATTCCTTTCTTAATTGTGGTTTTACAAATTCTTCATTTTTTAAACAATCAAGAATAATGCAAAATTGAAGTTCCGACAATTTCTTTATAATTTTTTTGACAGTATCTTTTTTATTTCTCATTTCTTCCAAAGAGGCAAATAAACAGCAATTACACATGATTGAACCTCAAGATTTTTTTTATCAAAATTTCATTAAAATTCAAAGTGATTTAAGACAACCATTTTCAATTGAGATATCAAGATCTTAAAGAGAGCCCCAAGAAGACTTAAGTATTTCTTCTGATACAAATGAATTTCCTCTTGATAAATATCTGAAAGCTACAATTCAGCCGACTACTTCTGTGATGTTAGGACTTCTGGCTATATGGTTTTTTTTTCAGGAATAGATTTAATGACTTAAAAGTGGCTAAAGAACATATCGCATCACCTTTTTTAGCACTCCATGCACTCTATAGTTGGTAATATTCACAAGGAATTTAATTTCACTGTTTTTGCAGTGAATAAAGGCAGCACGAAATTAAATATCAATAGAATATTTCTATAGTAAATAGAAACTAAGCTATTCCTTAGTAAAGGTACACCAGTTAATTGACTTTCGCAAAATCTAATACTTGTAAAAATGTCCAAACCGGAATGAAGATGAAATATTAGCCCCATCAAATCAAACAACTGTGCAGTATATCAGTAAGCATTTGGTTGAATCATCTTTACAAGGCAATAAGCTAACATATATCTTACATTTTCCTTTTGAAATACAAACAATTACTAGGTCATAATCCTATAGAGTAATATCGTAAATTTGCGTGTATAGTGTGCACTTTCTTGGGCAAAACTGTAGTGTCAAAATGGGGTTGTGTATCATACGCAGGAACATGCCTTTTCTAGATGTTATCATTCTCGAGTTCTCTGTCCACCATATTGGATTACATCCCTTCACATAACGGGAAGCATTTGACCATTTTTGTTTTGTTTTTTGTTCTTTTTTGTTTTTGTACACCAAAACATGAATTTTCTCTCTATTTGCGAAAAGGGGGAAAAAGGCAAAAGCTGAGTTTGGCGAAAGTTTGCCAACATACAGTTGTTAAACAGGTGGCTGTGTTTAAGTCCAAAAGAAATTAAAATGTTTTCTTATCACATCACCTGTAAACTGAATTACACCTGAAATTCAAAGAAGCAAAAACTATGTTTGAACTTAAAGCAAAAAAAAACGATGTATGTGATTTAAAAATCTACCTGCGTAGGACATCTACTTCATTCTCCAGGGACGATTCTTTGTCTCTAAGGAATCGTTTATCGATATTTTTAATTGCTACCAGTTTCGATTCCCATGTGTCCTGAGCGAGGGAAACTTCAGAGAAAGCACCCCTGGAATGAAAACAAAGAGAAAATACTGTGAACATTTGTATGACATTAAGATTACTGAGGATTAGGGTAAAGTTTGAAGACCTGCCTTTCTGAAACCAAATGTAACAATAGTAATATACAAAAACTACCTCAAAGGTGAGACTGGACAATATATGTTGGTATATCATTGTGGTCTGCTATTTCATATACAGGTGCTTATTGTAATACGTTGGTTAAAATATGATGGTTTGATAGCGTTATTATGAAATTAAAGTAATAATGAATCAAAATTAAATGTAGCAGAGAAAAGAATGCTTTAAAAAAAACATACATCAATAATTGGGTTTCCTTAGCCAAGCCTCCATTCAATGTTTATGAAATGTGAAACTCTAAAATTTCAATAATGAAGGTCAATTATTTTAACCATGCAGGTGATTAAAGAAGTGTTACACGAGTATTTAAGGCCTTTATTTACCATCTGTTGATTTTTCTGGATTATATTTACAAAACGTTAAATGTAAACTACTACCTTCAACAATGCTAACGGTCATTATCAAATTGACCAACCAAACATCACACATACTATTCCAATTTGTCAAGGACCAGCTAAGTCAACACTCTACACAAAAGTCTCTACAATTTTCTGATTGTACTTCTGCAAATCAATAAACGATTAGAAAGGTTAAATACCTAAAATTGATCTGTTTAACACAAAACCTTTCCGAGGAAACTCCTGTTATAATCAATTTGTCCCTATAGTCAGACAGATGAAACGTTCCTATACAAAGCTGTCGCAATTGTAATTCGATCATTTCAATACCCAGCAAAACTTATATGCACACAAACAAGAAAATGTCTATGACATGAATACCCTCACTTTCATTTCACTGATTCTGAATGGCAGAGGATGGGATGGGGATGGGATGGACTAGACAGGATGGTACGAGACAAACATGTTCAAGAGTAACACTTTATGCTCCACAAGTCTATATAATGACTAAGACATATACATTTAAGCATACCACAATAATGAAGCACAGCTTGAAAGAAAATAATACCAGTTGATGAATAGGCACCAATGAGAGTTAAGTCGCAAATAGTAAGACGCAGACATAAAAAAAACCCTTACAAATTTCATGTTTCAGGACAGGAAAGGATGCTGCACAACCTGACTAGACGGACACAGGGAATGGGTTAAGATATTGGTAAAAATTGCAGTCTTAGGAAGCTGCAAAATAGTCTCAAATGTTCATGGGAAGTATCATTCAATGATGGACCAGCATGGATAGCTTCAGGTCCTTATGGTAACTTTGTTTTTGTCACCAACAAAATTCCAGCCAGTTTTTTTCAATAGCCCATAATGCCAGCCTTACGAAAAAATTAATTACTTTTGAATATTTTCATATATTGTAAACAAACTTATTTCAGCGCAATCAAATTTTAACACATTATCATTCTTGGCAAATTAGTGTAATGATGACTTTATGCATCTATAGTAATAGCTTTCAAACATACAAAAACTGTAATTAGCGCAATCATTAGCACAATAGCATTAGTGTTCCAATAAGATAACCCCTTAAGGATGTCTATATAAGTATCTACACTGGATATTAGGATTTCTTCTTCAGACTGGACTTACTGCAGCCATATCAGATTGTGTGAATGAATAAAAGTTGATACATGTACTCCGAGAGATCAAGAAAAGTTGTACAAGTTGAACACATGCCAGAAGAAAAATCTCCAGTGTCTGTCAGCACTTTGATGTTATCACTGCTATAAAGACCTCGTAAAACTAATACACAATGTAAGAGCAAATAAATCTAACCTAACTCATCAGTATTGAGAAGATAATTAAATTCCAGCCATTCTACCTTGAAGCAATCAATGCCCACCTCCCATTATCAATTATTAAGATCTTTAAGCAGTTACTGATACTGTCAAGGCCTTTATATTGTCCTAGTAGCTAACTGTGATAGTCACATCACACTACTAGTACTGGATCATCCTTACAGTTTCCTGATGGCTTTGATTTTATATTTGTCTTTAAGCCCTTTTTTATCTTTCTTCCACAATTACTGTCTGTTTAAATAAGACTTTTTTCTCTTATACTTAAAGAAACATGCTTCCCCAGTGTTAATCAGTCTCCAGTTTCCAAGAATTGTGTGGTTTATTTCAAACGGTTACAATTCTAGAATTCTCTTGTCATCTGTAATATTTTTATTTTATTTTCATAAAACTGATGCTCTACAAACTGAGCCAGCTGGCCACTTGAAGTAATGAATCTGGCTATTGTTTGCTATACTTTAACCTTAATCCTTTCTCAACAAAATGCTACCAAAACAAATTTGCTCTCTACAAAAGGCTAACATACTACTACAAATGTAGTTAGTATTAACAGCTGAACCTTGTTTAGATAAATACCCAGGCAGCTCTGTTGTCACACTATCCAGTCACCACCAATCTGTTGTCCTACCATCCAGTCACCATCAATCTGTTGTTTCACTATCCAGTCACCATCAATCTGTTGTCTCACCATCCAGTCACCATCAATCTGTGGTCTCACTATCCAGTCACCATCAATCTGTTGTCTCACTATCCAGTCACCATCAATCTGTTGTCACACTATCCAGTCACCACCAATCTGTTGTCCTACCATCCAGTCACCATCAATCTGTTGTTTCACTATCCAGTCACCATCAATCTGTTGTTTCACTATCCAGTCACCATCAATCTGTTGTTTCACTATCCAGTCACCATCAATCTGTGGTCTCACTATCCAGTCACCATCAATCTGTTGTTTCACTATCCAGTCACCATCAATCTGTTGTCTCACTATCCAGTCACCATCAATCTGTTGTCCTACCATCCAGTCACCATCAATCTGTTGTCCTACCATCCAGTCACCATCAATCTGTTGTCCTACCATCCAGTCACCACCAATCTGTGGTCTCACTATCCAGTCACCACCAATCTGTTGTCTCACTATCCAGTCACCATCAATCTGTTGTCTCACTATCCAGTCACCATCAATCTGTTGTCCTACCATCCAGTCACCACCAATCTGTTGTCCTACCGTTCAGTCACCATCAATCTGTTGTCCTACCATCCAGTCACCATCAATCTGTTGTCACACTATCCAGTCACCATCAATCTGTTGTCTCACTATCCAGTCACCATCAATCTGTTGTCTCACTATCCAGTCACCATCAATCTGTTGTCTCACTATCCAGTCACCATCAATCTGTTGTTTCACTATCTAGTCACCATCAATCTGTTGTCCTACCATCCAGTCACCACCAATCTGTGGTCTCACTATCCAGTCACCATCAATCTGTTGTCTCACCATCCAGTCACCATCAATCTGTTGTCTCACTATCCAGTCACCATCAATCTGTTGTCCTACCATCCAGTCACCATCAATCTGTTGTCCTACCATCCAGTCACCATCAATCTGTTGTCCTACCATCCAGTCACCATCAATCTGTTGTCACACTATCCAGTCACCATCAATCTGTTGTCTCACCATCCAGTCACCATCAATCTGTTGTCCTACCATCCAGTCACCATCAATCTGTTGTCTCACTATCTAGTCACCATCAATCTGTTGTCCTACCATCCAGTCACCACCAATCTGTGGTCTCACTATCCAGTCACCATCAATCTGTTGTCTCACCATCCAGTCACCATCAATCTGTTGTCCTACCATCCAGTCACCATCAATCTGTTGTCTCACTATCTAGTCACCATCAATCTGTTGTCCTACCATCCAGTCACCACCAATCTGTGGTCTCACTATCCAGTCACCATCAATCTGTTGTCTCACTATCCAGTCACCATCAATCTGTTGTCTCACTATCCAGTCACCATCAATCTGTTGTCCTACCGTTCAGTCACCATCAATCTGTTGTCTCACTATCTAGTCACCATCAATCTGTTGTCCTACCATCCAGTCACCACCAATCTGTGGTCTCACTATCCAGTCACCATCAATCTGTTGTCTCACCATCCAGTCACCATCAATCTGTTGTCCTACCATCCAGTCACCATCAATCTGTTGTCCTACCGTTCAGTCACTATCAATCTGTTGTCCTACCATCCAGTCACCATCAATCTGTTGTCACACTATCCAGTCACCATCAATCTGTTGTCTCACTATCCAGTCACCATCAATCTGTTGTCTCACTATCCAGTCACCATCAATCTGTTGTCTCACTATCCAGTCACCATCAATCTGTTGTCTCACTATCCAGTCACCATCAATCTGTTGTCTCACTATCCAGTCACCATCAATCTGTTGTTTCACTATCCAGTCACCATCAATCTGTGGTCTCACTATCCAGTCACCATCAATCTGTAGTCTCACTATCCAGTCACCATCAATCTGTTGTCACACTATCCAGTCACCATCAATCTGTTGTCACACCATCCAGTCACCATCAATCTGTGGTCTCACTATCCAGTCACCATCAATCTGTTGTCCTACCATCCAGTCACCACCAATCTGTGGTCTCACTATCCAGTCACCATCAATCTGTTGTCTCACTATCCAGTCACCATCAATCTGTTGTCTCACTATCCAGTCACCATCAATCTGTTGTCTCACTATCCAGTCACCATCAATCTGTTGTCTCACTATCTAGTCACCATCAATCTGTTGTCCTACCATCCAGTCACCACCAATCTGTGGTCTCACTATCCAGTCACCATCAATCTGTTGTCTCACTATCCAGTCACCATCAATCTGTTGTCTCACTATCCAGTCACCATCAATCTGTTGTCTCACTATCCAGTCACCATCAATCTGTGGTCTCACTATCCAGTCACCACCAATCTGTTGTCCTACCATCCAGTCACCACCAATCTGTTGTCCTACCGTTCAGTCACCATCAATCTGTTGTCACACTATCCAGTCACCATCAATCTGTTGTCTCACTATCCAGTCACCATCAATCTGTTGTCCTACCATCCAGTCACCATCAATCTGTTGTCACACTATCCAGTCACCATCAATCTGTTGTCTC